TTAAAGAATATGTTCAACTTGGTGAAGAGAAGATTGAGGGATGACATAATCACACTTTGAACTATTTCAAGGTTAATATCAGGTCTAAAGGTACAGAAGGATAGATTTTGCTTGACCATTAAGGGTAACTTCTTGACAGTAAGAGCAGTGCAACAATGGAAAGAATGGCCTAAGGAGATGTAGAGGTTCCCCCTCTGGCTATCCTCAAAAAGATGCTGGGCAGCTACCTGCTGGGATGCTTGAACTGGATATCCTACATTAAGTAATGGTTGGGACATGTTGGCACCTGAGACCCCACTCAATGATTTTATGCTTTTCTATAGGAAGATGCCATCTACCTCTGAAAGGAGGTGACAATACTTCTGTACCAATGCAGCCTACAAGTGTTTTTCCAGACTAATTTCTAGATCCTGGTTTTGGTAGGTCTACAACCTGAATTTAGCATCCTTGCCAGTTCCTCTCCCCAGTTTCACTGCATTTACTGCTAAAGTCATTTTCTTCTCCACATCGGTACAGTTTAAGATCTCTTCTTCACATCTGTACAGTTTAAGGTGGTAGACTTTCCAGAACAAGAATCTGGGCCTTCATTTTGTGGATCAAGCAATCTTCTTCATAAAATATGCATATCCTTCGCTTTCCTGAGCTTTAGGGTGTGTATAAGGCCCAGCTATTTATGGCAATAATTGACTGTGCAGCAGGAGGATTTGGCGAAAAACTGAGTGTTGTTAGTGCTTGGTCCTATTTCTCCCACAATTCTAACTTTGAAACTAAAGGTGGGGATATGCATCTTTTCATTTGAATTGTCATATCCAAATCAGAAATGAACATCAGGTAGATCACATTCATGGAGATTTGTTGAACACTTGCTTATACCTGATGACAATTTGAAATGTACACATTAACCATTTCAGGTGTCTCTGCACATTGAGTTAAGATTAAGAGAAGGAAAAAATAATAAGAGAAGCAGCCCTTAATGAAGAAAGGACAGATTTTCCGGTCTTATTATACCTTAAAGAAATTAACATGGCTTATAGGAAAAGATAGTTTTGAAAAGCCTTTCTGCTCTTAAGAGCGAGTTTGCCAACTTTCAAATAAATTATCTAGGGCATGTGATGATTAGGAGATAACAAGTTGGCTTCTTCCAAAAAATTATTTTTATTTGAGCTACCATCCTAGCAATATCTTGTACACATCCAGTGTTTTTTTATGTTTCATAGTACTGGGAGTATCTTTCTTGGAATGTAAAGTATCTTTTCTGCAACTTTGTTCTTTGAACATGCCCAGATGTTTTCAAATGATATAATCTAATGCTATAAACATTTGCTTGTTAGCTCGTTATAATTTCTCTGTTTGTTCTCCTTCTTTTATCACTTACATCCTGCCATAGTGCCATCATTACTGCCTTAGCTTGTAATGTAATCAAAGAGAGTAATGTGTGCAGCTACACAACCAGGAAGATTGGGAGAAGGAGCATTTGTCTTTTCATATGTCTTACCTTTCCCACAGTGTAAGAGGTGCGGCATGTCTCTCAATTCTGTTTTTAAGACCAATCTCTAACATTGTTAGAGTAGTGGAACTACTTTGAAGGTAAGATCTTCCCTTTCAAAATAAACACACCTTTTCCTGTACAGAGTCAAGTTCTGGAAATATCATTGTGTTTGTTTGCACCAAAAACTAACTGTGGATACAGCTAATTAGTGATCAACTTTGGTGTCACTTGGACCATGCCCTGAAATATTTTGTATCTGTTTTAACATTGTTAAATATTCTTATCTACCCCCCCCCCCCCAACACACACACAAGATTTTAACTGTGTGCACAACAGTCTCAAAAAACAATAGCTCATCAAAGTCTCAGGTTTAAAACTTTGAGATGTGATTTCTATGAAAACCACCAGAATAGAGACTCTAGAAACTTCCAGAATAGCCAACAGGGATTTCTTAAGGGTAAATAAAATTAGATTAGCTTTTAAAATGTACAATAACAAAATCACCCACCAATTTGGAAAAAGTACAGGATTAAAAATATCCTGAGAAAATGATGTAGGTACTAAAAGAGAAGATCAAAACTGGAACGCTTTACGATCATAATTCCCTCTTCATGCAAGCTATGAAGAAAGATATGGCAGTTACGATCGTATATAGATGTCATTTAAACCAGAACCAACCAGATGTTGACAAGTAAGTGGGCAGTTAGATTTATCCATATGTAGACAGACTGCCAAACAATTACATTGAGGAGGAAAAAAATGACAAAAAACCTTACAAAATAAATAACCAATCAAGCAATTAAACCAAACAACTTCTGGTTTTATCAATGTTGGTGATCAGCATATAGCTCTATCCCACAAGAATTTAGTACATTTCTTTTACTTGCATCTAGACTCAGAATAGCATTGAAGGACAAAGGTATGAAGGAATTCAGTATAAAAACATTAAAAGAACAGGTATATAGTACGGTGAAAATCTCTATACCAAGTTAAAAGGCTGGAAGGGTTTACAAGTAATGGCAACTCTTTATTAATTGAAATCCAGCAAGTGGGAAGCCACCAAAGAACCAAAAGTATTTGTTGCTCCTCAAAAAATAAAATAAAGGGGAAAAGAAAGAGAGATAAATTAATTAATTACCTAATTTTACTTGTTTTTCTTTAATTATACTTGGTTTTTTTATTCCTTTATTTTCTCTAGTTTTAGTTTAAGATTAATACTTGTATATCTGAAAAAATAAAAAGATGGGGAGCTCAATTAATCCTCTGTACTCTTTCGCTACTTTCCATGCCTGCTTCACTAGTTATTCTAGGTTTTCCCTTTTGTTGTATTATATGCCCACTGCTTTGCTGAGGTCTTGTCCAGGGAGGTCAATACCATAGAAAAATGTTATTTAGTTATTAATATGGGTGAATCATGGTATGATTTGTTTCTGTCTTTCAAATAATTACATAAAATTGCCTGGAGAGAAAGTAGTGCTAATTCTTTCAAATATATATACTCTTTGACTAAATCTAATTGTGTCTCCCAACCAGAACTGAATTAGCAATATTCACTTAAAATTTGATGTACCATTCAGCAATTGATTAAATGCATCTACTCTAGTTGATAGGAGATTTAATTGATTATTTCAGAAACTTTGTTATTGTTTGTTTTCTAATATTTTCTTCTAACACATGATAATAATAATGGCCTTGCAATCCTTTACCTGTCATTTTAGGCTCTCACCCCACCGAGGCAGAAAATTGGTACACATAATATATCAGAGAACACTTACAAAGTAAACAAGTAATTTCCTTCAGATAAATGTTATCTTGGTAGCAAAGCCAGTTCGCATACTTGTTAGAAATAAATGAATCTGCATGGAATTACAGTCACACGGGTAATAAAAACCCTAACTTTTCCATACTCTTTACTGGTTTGTCAGGAACAGTGTCAATTCACTTTCTACCATCATACCTTTTCATCTACTTTTAAAATAATTCCATGTGCTTTTAGAAAAGACAGTGGCATCACATATGTATATGAGATTTGCCATTATATAATAAAACAAAGAAAAAAATATTTAACCAAATGCAAATTCTATCATATTAATGTTAAAATGTATGTAAACATAGGAATAGTTCAATATTTGAGTAGTGGTATAGATCATACAGGAGCGAGCTACCCATCATTGGGCCTATTCCAGAGCCATAAAAGTTCCTATTTCCAGTGGTAACTCTCTTCACATTATCTGGAAAGTGTCATTTTGCCAGCAATAATCATTTAATTCTTACCCAACTTAGACACTCAGTTGTCATATTTAACCAATTATTATATGGTTAAGTGACTTCATTAAATACTACTTGTAATTTAATTGGTGGTAGTGCTATCACAACATGAAGTAGTGTTTTGAAAGGGTTTTGTAGCACTGAAGAGGAGAGGCCTAGCTCTGCAGCTTTGTATTCTTGTTTTTCTGTTGAACCCTTTTTTGCCACATTTGCCAAAGGAAATCTGTCTGTACTGAATACTGAAATAGAAAGCTTTGCTCCCTCCTCTCCCCTTCCCAAAGAGCACTCACTGAGTCTAGAACAAAGCCTTAATGTTCCTTATCCAAATTGTATTTTAACCAAATGGTAGTAGCCACAGTGTCCTTAAATAGTACCTAAGCCTCCCTAGAAATATCTGCTGAACCACCAGTGGGTAGCTCATTCTTCAGGATGGTTTTTTTTTCTGGACAGAACAAAATAATACCTAAGTAGCTTGCAGCTTTTGTTCCATTTTTGAATTTTGAATGAACACATGGGATGCATATGTACTGTAGAATTAGTGCAGTTTGACAATGTTACCACAGAATTCTGAGAAATGTAGATTAGGAAGGTGAAGACCTCTCTAGCTGAACATTCAAAAGGCTGTTCCCTAAATTACATTTCCTAGAATTCTGCAGGTGGCAGAAATGCGGGACTGCCCGCTCTAAAGCTCTGGTGTGATAACGTCATTGGTTGAATGCAATGGAATAACGGGAGCTGCAGTTTGGTGAGGCACCAGCACTGTGTGGTAGAGAAAGTCTATTCAAGTGGCACTGTTCCAACACTTTGCAACTAACTAGAATGCAAAATCATATGAATTCCTCTATTTTGAAAGCAGGCAATTATAATAACTTATGCTCTCTTTTTCTGTTGGGTACAGCCGCCTACTCCTATACATTGAATCCACTAAATCCAAGGCAGCGTTGGCTTATTTGCTGATAAAGAAAACGTTAATGAGTTCGGTGGGCTGAATAGCTATAGAAAACACTTTCTATATTCAGATTTGTGTGCATAAGGTGAGTGGGGCTATGCCCCATTTTGCCTGGAGAAAGTGTTCTCAAAAAAATTAAAAAGAATCATGTGGCCGGCATGTAAAGAGAGTCATATGTGATCATTTGTGATGATTTTGTTGATCTCCATTTGATTATGATAAAGAATTCATAGCTTGTAATTCCTGCTCTTATGCCAGTTCTATCATTTTAGATTTGTGCCTCTTCTCTTGCAGTGCTCTCCAAGCTGGTGTGCCTTCTGCTCCTCCTGCCATAAACCAAAGCTATGTCTCTGGTTCATCGGACATTCCGCTTCTCTCTAAAACTCTGGACCAGTGCCTTGAAGATACAACCAACCGGTACCCTGAACGAGAAGCCCTGATATTCTCCACAGGAGGAACTCGAAAGACATTTGCTCAATTTCAACAAGATGTAGGCAACCACTCATGTGTTATGCAACCTACCCTAATAAAGTAGATACTCTGTCACAGCCCATAATTGCACTATGTATCAACCGAACCCCACGATAGGGGGGTCTCCATAAGCCGGAATGACTTGAAGGCTTATAACAACAACAGGATATGTTAAAAATAAAAATAAGTTAATATTATTTTAAAACATACAAGGATAAAAGGCCACATATTTCTATGCAGATACATTTATGAAATGAAAACTGCAGAGGTTATTCCCCTGCCTGGTAATTACAAACATGGTGCAAAAAGTATTTTCTGTAATTATGGATATATCAGGGCTGGTTACCTGTGGCGAGAATTAATTCTGCACATGCTCAAAGAATGGTGCAGTATTTTATTATAATTTTTACAATCTGTTATAACTGAGTTTTAGCAATGAAAATAGTGTTGTGAGAGCTTGTTTAAATATAAGTGATCCTTTTTTGCTCAAATGTTAATCCCATTGTGTATAGTCTGATTTTCTTTACAAAAGAAGTAAGCCTTACATGCTAAGACATATGGCTCCAAGATTATTTAGGGTGCCATAGATTAAGAACGTTACATTTTTAAGGGCGATTGTATAATTTTCAGCTATTTATTTGACATTTGTTTAAAGAGCAAGGCTAAGTAGATTTCCATAGGTGTTTGAATGTATCACATACTGCTTTGCTAAAACCAGGCTTATTCAGCTCCAGTTTGAAGCATGACGATGGTACTGGCCAAGGAAAGGTCAAACTTTTTTCCTTCTCTGTCCAGTAACAAAGATCCAAACCATGTTCTGGAGTTCCTATTCACTGTGGAAGGGAAAACATCCTGGCACCAAACAGATGCCTACATATTTTGATCCTCATTCTCACAGCACCATAGCCTTTTTCTAAATCAGGCACCTTTTTTCATGTCAGGAGCAGCTTGAGAAACTGCAAGTCTCTTCTGGTGTGAGATAATCGGCCATCTGCAAGAATGTTGCCCAGGGTACACCCAGATGTTTTGATGTTTTACTATCCTTGTGGGAGGCTTCTCTCATGTCCCCAAATAGAGAGCTGGAGCTGACAGAGGAAGGTCATCCGCGCTCTCCCCAGATTCAAACCTGCGGCCTGTCGGTCTTCAGTCCTGCTGGCACAAGGGTTTAACCCATTGTGCCACTGGGGGCACCAATTAAGTTGTCTTAGCAAACAAACAAAGGCCCTAATATGTTTTTTTCTCCCATTCTTATATGTATGTGAAAGATAGGCATCTGTATTTATACATGTCTTTATATCAGTTAAAGAATGACCACACCAATGCATTCATTTTAATTTCATGCATTGTTTGTATCACTTTCCCAATAGAAATGTTCCACCTGAGGGAGAACCACCCCTTCTTGGCAAATGTAAATATGATGTGAATGTTTGTCATTATATTCTTAGACTACCTTGACTTGGAGCATGGGCATGTTTGGCATGTAAATTGTTTTTGTTTAAATTAATTATACTTCAGCATCATCTGACCAGCCATTCTATATCCAATGCCATTTCCTATCTGTTTTGCTGACACTCTCTCTCTTGCAAACTGTAGGTGAAGCAGGCAGCAGCTGGGCTTCTGGCATTTGGTCTGAAAAAGGGAGATCGACTAGGAATGTGGGGTCCCAACATGTATGAATGGGTCCTGATGCAATTTGCCACAGCCCAGGCGGGAATCATCCTGGTAAGTTTATCTTGATTATAAACAGGTTTGTAGTTTGGTGAGAAGTAAAAGCAAGTCTTCCTGAAGAGGTGCAATGCTATAGAAATAGTTTTGTATATCTAAGGAACACTACTTGTTACAACATAAACTTATCTGGTAAAAAGTCTAGTACAATAGTATTTGCATTTGAGCTGAAAATAAGAGTGATCAGGAAAGATAATTTGTTTTTCCACTTTGCTGAATAATAGTAGCTTCTGTAGTCCCTTCCACACAGCTGTATAAAATCCACATTGAACTGGATTATCTGGCAGTATGGACTCTGATTATCCAGTTCAGAACAGATATTGTGGATTATCTGCCTTGATATTCTGGGTTATATGACTGTGTGGAAGGACCTTTGAAAATAAAACAGCTAGACAAATAACCTTGCATGTATGGAATTTCCAATCTAAGTTCACCCTAATGCTTCTTTTTATTTCCAGGTATCTGTGAACCCAGCATATCAGTCCCAGGAGCTGGAGTTTGCAGTGAAGAAGGTAAGAGAGGCCTAACATAGTCAGCACAGATTAATTACATCCGAACAATTTCTGAAAAATCTTTACGCAAGTAGCTTCTTGGATTATAGGAAAACATGGAAAAGAATAACTACTGTTACAAGATTTAAAATTAGCTTGCAAATTGTGAAATTAATTTGAGAAAAAATGGAGCTTTATATATATACCCTCTTGTTTTTTCTTAGCACTCTGATCTTCACGTGGTGCAAAGTGGCAATAGACTGAGTGCTCTTCTTCACAGCTATATAACCCAGAATATCAAGGCAGAAAATAATAATAATAATTTTTTTTTTTGGTCATGTCAGGAGTGTCTCCTGGTGTAAAAGAATTGGCCATCTGCAAGGATGTTGCCCAGGGGACGCCTGGATGATTTGATGTTTTTATCATCCTTGTGGGAGGCTTCTCTCATGTCCCTGCATGAGGAGCTGGAGCTGATAGAGGGAGCTCATCCACCTCTCCCCAGATTTGAACCTGTGACCTGTCGGTCTTCAGTCCTACCGGCACAGGGGTTTAACCCACTGCGCCACCGGGGGCTCATAATAATAATAATAATAATAATAATAATAATAATAATCTTTATTTATACCCTGCCACCATCTCCCTAAAGGGGACTAGGGGCGGCTTACATCAGGTCAAGCCCGAAAATACATAACAGCAAAATACAGAACAACACAAATCCCACAATATCTGCTTTGGACTGGGTTTGCTCCATGCTGACTTGTAAGAGGCCTGGAGGTGGATAGAGAAGTGGTGTCTCAGTTCCTAAGATCATTGGAAATGTGTTTTCCAATGGTCTTAGGTGACCCCTGTGAAAGGGTTGTTTGATCCCGGAAGGGGTCGCAACCCATAGGTTGAGAGCTGCTGCTTTAGAGTATTTAGGTCCCTTCTGTCCTCCGTATTATAAGCCAGTTTGTTTGCTCTGCCACAAACATTTTCTTAAACACTAGGCTTACATTGCCAAGAACAGTAAAAGTGACCTAGGATATCATGAGATGGGTCAATCAATAAAGAATTCAGTTCCCTATTTCTTCTGTGAGATTTTGCATAAGTTGGCTTGCAACTAATTTTCTTTATTGTTATATTTTTCTCTCTAGGTTGGCTGCAAAGCACTGGTGTTTCCTAAACAATTTAAAACGCAAAACTACTATGAGATTTTGAAGAGTGTTTGTCCTGAGTTGGAAAAATCAAGTCCTGGAGCACTCAAAAGCAAGACGTGAGTTCTAACAATGCTGTTTGTTGTCTTATTCTAAGGCTAGGGCACAGTTATCCTATTTTGCAAAATTCTGGAACAGGAGAATAGAAAATTAGACCCAAAAAAATCCATAACTGAGAAGTGTTAAGAATATCACTAGCACTAAACTGTTACGGATACTTGTCAGCATACCTTTATATTAATTAATCTCAAACATAGATTTCAAAGATCTGCCTGAATCTGAAAGCCAAACTGGAGCTCAACATGGATATTGATTATGTACCAGAGACTAAATTCCTGTGTATGTGCCTGCTGTAATTAACTAAATTATCCTTTGTTTCAGACTTCCAGAACTTTCTGTTGTAGTTAGTGTGGATGCCAAGCTGCCTGGCACATTCTCCATAGATGATCTGATGCAGGCTGGAGATAGCAGCCATAAGAAGCAGTTGCAGGACATCCGGAAGACACTGGACTGCAAAGAGCCCATTAATATCCAGTTCACTTCAGTAGGTACCAGATGTGCTGTCATTCTCAGTGTATAATGCAGTTCACAATGATAAGAAATGTGTATCCTTGGCCAGTTGAAGAAACTGACTGTACTGAACCTTTTCTCTGCATTTGTGTGAATTAATTTTTCTGCCAGTTCATTTTTTTTTAACACCAATATTTGGGAGATTTGTCTTTCTGAAGAATCTATTCAGTTTTAGAAATAGCTGAAGCAATGGCACAATTTATATGGCTGTTTTAGGATCAAAAGAAATAGTAGTTGGGGAGAGGAAAAGAGAGCTCCTCAAGGACAACTGCTGCCTGTTTTGGTGCCTATTTAATCTTCCCAATTTCTAGCCTACAGGCTTCTAGCGGCAGAAAGTTCCAAAGAAGCATGAATCAAGCAATTATTTTTCTTCTTCCAGGGAACAACAGGAAGCCCCAAAGGGGCCACACTTTCACACCACAATATTGTGAACAATGCAAACCTGATTGCTATAAGAATGCGAATCGGTGAAGGGGTAAGTCTTTTTAAAGTGTTTGTTAATGTTGGCCAGAGGAAGAACTGCTTGTAAAGAGAAAATTTTATTCCCTATAGGGTGAGGAAGAATGTTGGGGCCCTTCCACGCAACCCTTTATCCCAGAATATCAAGGCAGAAAATCCCACATTATCTGAGTGTGGACTCATATAACCCAGTTGAAAGCAGATATTGTGGGATTTTTCTGCCTTGATATTCTGGGATATAGGGCTGTGTGGAAGGGTCCTTGTTGTCATAGTGAGGAATGATCCAGAAATGCCCTATTTAACTTGTTAACCTTCTTTGTGTGGGTTGGTTTCAGAGATAATCCAGGTCCTTTCCACACAGCTGAATAAAATATCACATTTTCTGCTTTGAACTGGAATGTTTGGTAGTGTGGACTCAGATAACTCAGTTCAAAGCAGATATTGTGGAATTTTCTGCCTTGATATTCTGGGTTGTATGGCTGTGTGGAAGGGCCCACTGAAGCTATATTCCACACAGCCCTATATTCCAGTATATCAAGACAGAAAATCCCAGAATATGTGCTGGGATATCTGAACTGGGATATCTGAGTCCACACTCAGATTGTGTGAGATTTTCTGCCTTGTTATTCTGAGGGCCCTTCACACAGTCCTATATCTCAGAATATCAAGGCAGAAAATCCCACAATATCTGATTTGAACTGGGTTATCTGAGTCCACACTCAGATAATGTGGGATTTCCTGCCTTGATATTCTGGGATATAGGGCTGTGTGGAAGGACCCCTAGTGCAAAAGTGGCAACAGCAAGATTGCTAAACAGATAATCCATAACATACATCTCAAAGGAGCTGTATTGGCTGCCAATTAATTTACAGTCTGAATTCAGAGTGCTGTTGATGTCATTTAAAGCCTGAAAGTGAGTTGAGATATTGATACCTGAAGGCATCTCTCATCTTATTTGAAAAGTACAGGTGTGAAGTCCACTGGTGAGGTCCTCCTCTATGGTCTACCAGTGGAGGCCAGATCATTTTTGAGGACACGAGAAAGGGTTTTAATTGTTCATATAATTTTATCTGCATGTGGTTCTGAGATGCCACAATAAAATAATGGGTTATACCTATTTCAATAAATGAATAAAATGTTTTTGTCTTTCCTGTAGGAGTCTCGTTGTTGTCTCCCTGTTCCTCTCTACCACTGTCTGGGTTCTGTAGGAGGCTGCATGGTGATGGCTATTCATGGTGTCTCTCTTGTCTTCCCAAGTTTAAGCTTCAATGCAAAAGCCACACTGAAGGCTCTGGACCAAGAAAAGTAAGAATTATGATTCAAATTAAGATTTAACTGTGTATCAATATAGGCAGAGCCTCTGACAGTGAAGCTACTTTTCTGAATGTTTTTTTTATACCCCAGTCCTGTCTTCCTGGTGAAGGAGAGCTGGAAAAGGATTTTGGAATAACCTTTAGAGTTTTTAAAAGGTTCAAAATGTTTGGATTACAAGGGTTAGCCTTTTAAGATATTCATGTTACAAATCTTGAATAAAAGTTCTGCTGAAATACTTTTATTCCCCCATGCACCTCTCGTACCAAATAGTCTGTTAAAATAAGTAGTGTCTAGGGTCACGTCTACTTCATGGGGTCCCTACTGACATGTGGTCCTAGCTTCTAAATTGTTCCCAATCCTATAATTTTTGAGGCAAGAACAATTTATCTAGGACTAACCATTGTATAGCTTTAAATAGCAGCATCTCTTTTCTCTTTCCTAAGAACTGAAGGCCCTTCCACACAGTCATATAACCCAAAATATCAAGACAGATAATACATGATATCTGCTCTGAACCGAATTATCTGCCAAGCTTGTTTTCTGCTGCCCTAGAGAGTAGGATGCAGAACAATGGCTTCAAACTACAGGAAAGAAGATTCCACCTGAACATTAGGAAGAACTTCCTGACTGTGAGAGCTGTTCAGCAGTGGAACTCTCTGCCCTGGAGTGTGGTGGAGGCTCCTTCTTTGGAGGCTTTTAAGCAGAGGCTGGATGGCTATCTGTCGGGGTGCTTTGAATGTGATTTTCCTGCTTTTTGGCAGGGGGTTGGACTGGATGGCCCATGAGGTCTCTTCCAACTACAGTTCTATGATTCTATGATATAATCCAGTTCAATGTGGCTTGTATACAGCTGTGTGGAAACTATGAAGATAAAGTTGAACTTCAGGGCTTATACTCATAATCCAAAATGGGTAAAGAACACAGCTGTCATACTCATGTACTTAGACCAGCAGCGTATAACTTGCTGCCATTCTGTTTTGTCCTGAAGATGCACACACATTCACGGGACTCCAACCATGTTCATAGACATACTTGGACAGCCTGACTTTGCCAGCTACAACCTCTCGCGTCTCCGGGGAGGTGAGTATAAAAATTATGTAATTATGATTCCATTAGATTTATCATCTGATTTTGGGGAAATTACCTTCTAATTCATGCTTTTTTACCACAACTTTTAGATTTCGGTGAAATGCATATTATGGAAATCTTAATACAGATGCTTTTAAAACTATTTGAATACGTTTTACAGCATAATCAAAGAGGCAATACATATACGATCTATCTATCTATCTATCTATCTATCTATCTATCTATTTATCTATCTATCTCCTTTTTTGGGATTCCTATACTTTACTGGATCCAGTGCATACACACACACACTGCTCACTGTGCTTTGCCATTAGACTGGTTGTGAATGTTAATTTGTGGGTCCGAAGCATAACATGACCAGATTTCACATTGGGTTTTTTTTAATTCTTGGAGTTTGCTTCTCAGCCAATGGCTGCACAACATGTATAGAAGAGAGTATAGCACAAATTTGTTTTTCTCAACAATAATAAAAAAATAACAAGAAAGAGTTTGGCTGTTGAACTGCATTCACACACTGTGACTGAATGACAACCACCACCACCCCCCAAAAAAAAAACTGAAATAAGGACTGCAAGTTTTGAACATTTTAATCATTAAGACCTTTACTAAAATTAGCTGCGGCCAATTATTTGGAAATACAATCATCTTTGGATTGGGAAGAATAACAGGGTTAACTACAAAGTGTACATACTAGTTTTGAGGCTACTTTGATTCTGGTATTGGGATGAAGCAAAATATCAAATATAACTTCCCTTTCTATAAGAAATGCATATATTTCTCATATATATATAATGTGTGTGTATATACATATATATACATACACACACGCGTGTATATATATATATACACACACATATACATACATACATACATACATTGTGTGTGTGTATATATATGTGTGTGTGTGTGTGTGTGTGTATTTATCAAACATTTTCCCCTTTTTTTGTTGCTCTATTACTGCAGGACTTTCTAGTGTTATTATTTTCCTCTTTCTGAAAAGATGAGAAATTACATGCCAGGCCACAGTTTGTGCTTCTTTTGTTTCATTCCTGCTTCTACCAGAGCGTGGCAGCAGATGCAAGGCATTCTATACTCATCCGTCTTGAAGTGAATGGAATCCCTTCCAAAGTATATTATTCCGAATGCATAGATCATTCAACCAAGCTTGTTCAGCCACCATGAATACAGCCATTGTCATCAACATCAGATTCTAATAATGGAAATCAACTGAGTTTGCTGTCACAATGAGCTGTTCTAAAATCTCAATTCTTTTGAGAAATTTGAAGACAAATGATTTTCAGAACAAATAGTGAAATCCCTAAAGTATGGGATTCTCCAATAAATCCCTCCTTCTGTCTCCCTTCATCTTTCAGGAATCATTGCAGGCTCACCAGTGCCTCCTGAAGTCATGAAAAAATTGATCAAGAAAATGAATATGCACGAGCTAGTGGTGAGTCTCTTTCCATCTTTGGGCTACACATTTTCCATCGTTGTCCATGGAACAGTTCTCCTGTCTCTGCATGCATGCACACTCTCATACATACACCAAACACACATATTATAGCTGTTGGAAATAGCCAACTTTTTCAAGCCTCCTATACTAGTTATTTGTTATGTATATGATTCAGATTGCTTACTAGATTGTATGTGTGTGTGTGTTGGTATGCAGTTTCCCCTTAACTCTATGTTGTTTGAGGTTGTGGGAGGGACTGCAGACCATGTGATCAGATCTGGGACTATTTATACTGAGACTCCCAGTTTTATTGTGTCTTAGCATATTGTTTATTGCTTGTTGTTTATATTGCTTTAATTGTTTTTAATTTGCCTTATGTCTTGTATTGTTATTTTGTGTGTTGAGGCCTTGGCCTTTGTAAGCCGCATCGAGTCCTTCGGGAGATGCTAGCGGGGTACAAATAAAGTTTAATAATAATAATAATTTTAGAAGTCAGTGTTGTATTTAATATTGTGTAGTCAGTGTTCGTTATGCATTAGCCATAACACAGAGAAGAGACTGCAACAGAATGCCTTAGAGTACTTACTGTTTAAACTTTCAACTGATAAACAATGCACCTGTATGGTGAATACCTGAAGTTTGTAAGTAAACCAACTATGTTATTTTTAACGAAGACTACCTTATTTTTGTCTCCTGAGAGCATGATTTAAAACCAAATATATTTTATGGGAGGAGTAGATGTTTTGGGGCAACTGAAATAACACTTCTGAAGATCTGCTATATATTTTATGTATTGGCATAATCTTTGTTCCCAACAATTCAAAGAGATAACAAGATATATCACTCTAACAACTGAGAAAGCTAATTTTGTCTTGCATGAATACTAGTGGATATATACCATGAAAGAGGAGAGTCACTCAGACAAGTTTTTAGCTCTTCTCAGGAAGATCATAAGTTACAAAAGGGTTGTGATCATTCCAAATGGTGTAAATGCCAATTAATCTCCAAAAGGTCACGCTTCCAAAAGGCTATGGAGATTCTGGTTTTCCAAAAGGTTATGAGCTCAAAGGTCATCTTTTCCCCCCCAAAAATAGCATGATGATTTGGAGATCTCGTTTGTTTTTTTAATCCCCCATTTCACTATTAACATGCCTGATCTGGGATCTGAAGGCAAAGGTGGAACTTAAGAACAGTTAGACTTTTGGATCACTGAAGGAAAGATAAACGGCAGGCAAGGTGAGTTGGGAATGGTTAGCAATGTCATATTTTGGTACTTGATTGACTTGAAGTAAAAAGGCAAATGAGGCTTGTTTTGCTAAGGCTGACAATGTTGAAGGAATTAATTCAGTTTTGTTTCTGATACAAACAAATATCATCAGTATCTAAAGTTTGCCTGAACTAAAATTAGTATGTTTTCGATTTTTTTATCTGCCCCAATAATGACTTTAAAAATAAAATGTAGCTAGGTAGTCTGAGGCCAGCTTTTTAAAAATCTCCAATCCACTGACTCCCTTTTTTTTAAAGTACAGATATACTTGAAGATAAAGCAAACATGACCTCACATGAGCTAACTTTGTAAAATGGTTTTATATTGTCTTGGTCTTCCTCCAGAAGAATAAATGGATGCTAAAAGGCTGGAGAAATAGGTTATGTAGCAAGGATGGGGAAATGGCTGCTCTCTTTATAGGAGGCTGTACATGATCTAGAAATGTTGAATTCCATCACATTTGTTAGTTTCATAGATTTTTTTTCCAGTACATTTACTTTGCAGTAGTGATTTAGGAACCTTGATGAACAATATCAGATTTATAAGTTCATTACACAGGACTCCCATTATCTTCAGATTCGACTCTGTCACAGTGGGAGGTCAAAATGCGATCCTTTTTTCTCAATAAAGTTAGTTTGTTGCTTCACCAGGCAAGGTTTTATAATATCTCCTAGAATTACTGGGGAAAGTCCTCTTCATTTCATTTGGCCTAAAAGGTTTGGTTTCTGGGTCCCGTCCCGTCCCCCGTCCCCCCAAATTTCAGGGGTGACTTAAGAAACTGCAAGTCGCTTCTGGTGTGAGAGAATTGGCCGTCTGCAAGAATGTGTTGCCCAGGGATGCCTGGATGTTTTACCATCGTATGGGAGTCTTCTCTCATGTCTCCACATGAGAAGCTGGAGCTGACAAATGGGAGCTCACCCCGCTCCCCGGATTTGAACCGCCAACCTTTCAGTCAGCAGTCCTACTAGTTCAAGGATTTGACACATTGCACCACCGAGGGCTCCTTTTTTGGCTTCTGGTGTAGCAGCTACTTGGACATTCAAAATGGGATTTACATGTAGGAGCTAGCCCTTCCAGAAGCATGAAGAAAAACTGGCTCTTATCAAGAAGAATATTTGGTTCTGCATGTTGTGATATCCATTCAAACAATTTGTTGGCTTTTATAGTTGAATTCTTTCACATTAAAATGCACCAGCCTTGCCCCTGGATATATTAAACACAAACCTGAGCACATTATATAGTTATATATTGTCACAGATGAACAGTTGTTAATCAAAAAGTCTTCTACAAAAAAATGTATGTTGTTTCATGCTCTTAAGTGATCAGTGATAGGCAACTTTCAAGGGTAAACTACAAGCTTTATGGCCTTTTCTGTTTTTTGGGGGGTTGTTTTTGGAGTAAGTGCATACACTCCCAGTTTGGTTCAGGACCAGTATGCATGTGCAGAGAGATTTAAATCTTGGTACTTATCTGAAACAACTTCCCTTCCTCACAAAGGTTTTAAAAAAAGGAAAGGGTACCTCCAATGGTACCAGCAGATATTGAACATGTTCTTTATTTCACTTTGCAGGAAATCTGTTACACTGCAATCTCAGATTTGGTGCTGGAGCTGCTGAGGATACTGTACTATAGAAAAGTTTTCTTAGATGACTGAACAGTCCCCCTCCCCTCCTTATGCCAAGGAAAGGTGTTAACTTCTCCTCATTGAGACTGGTAGCTGATGGCTTGTGGACTGGTACTAGTCCATGGATCACCAATTAGCTATAGACCACTGTGTCATACACATAAGTTCATCTTTTGCTGATAGAGCCAGGGACACTGAAGCGGAGGCTCTAGGGAGAGAATAATGTTAGGTTAAAGGTAAAGGTTTTCCTCTGACATTACATCCAGTTGTGTTCGACTCTGAGGGTTAGTGCCCATCTCCATTTCTAAGCCGAAGAGCTGGCGTTGTCCATAAACACCTCCAAGGTCATGTGGCCACCATGACTGCGTGGAGTGGTGTTACCTTCCTGCCAGAGCAGTACCTATTGATCTACTCACATTTGCAGGTTGGCAGAAGCTGGGGCTAACAGTGGGGGCTCACCCCGCTCCCTGGATTCAAACTGGCGACCTTTCAGTCAGCAAGTTCAGCAGCTCAGCAGTTTAACCCACTGTGTCACCGGGGGCTTCCCAATGTTAGGTTACTATTGAGCTTTTCTGCCAATCTGTCTATGGTATTTGGGAAAGTATTTTGAGAGGTCTGAGTACATTTCACAGTTCTATGTGATGCTAATTTATACAATAAACTAATATCACGACATTCTTGGTTGCAACCTTGAGGTGATTCCTTGCCATAAAATAGAACAGGCAGGCTGTGTTCTTATTTATTGATCATGCCATATTTTGTGACCATACTCTTTCCAGCATGCCTGTTTGAATCAGTTCTAAATGTAAGGATGGTGAAACTACACTTTTGTACCTATATCTGTGCAAGTAGAATATTATAGGAAATGCTGTAGATCTTGGAAACCGTGGCCTGTAATTGTTACATATCTTCTTCAAATAGAAATTGTTTTTTGATAAGTTTGGGGGCTACTCAGTAGGATTAGAAAAGTGTCCAATATTCACTGAACTATTAATTACAGATACACAGACTTTTATTTCTGCCTCATCGAAAAAAGTGATAAGAACAAAGGAAGACCTGGTCATTTCATCTTTGCAACAAGAGCTTTATACAGAAGTTGTACATAAGAAAATATACCATTTGTTTTCTACATAAGAGTAAGAGGAATTTTTAATTTTGAAAAAAGATCCTCTTAGGAGTCATTTACATTTGGTAACAAAGGAATAAATATTATATATTTATATAAATCTTTAGGATTAAAAATGCAGTTAAATTGAAGTTGTGGTATTGTAAAATCCACGATGATAAACCACAGTCATCTTGCTGCCTACAGCCAAATTTTCTGGCACATAGATGGTAATGGGGTCATTTCCCAGGATGCCAGGTAGTGAGCCTTACCTGCTTTCTTCTAATCTCCGTTGTTCCTTTCTAGGGCCAAGATCTTCAAAGTTTCTATGCCGGGATGGGGAACCTTTGGTCCTCCAGATGTTGATGGGTTGCTGCTTCCATTGTCTCTCACTATTGGCCAGGCTGTCTTAGGCCCCTTCCACAGCTGAACAAAATCCCACATTATCTGCTTTGAACTGGAATATACGGCAGTGTAGACTCAGATAACCCAGTTCAAAGCAGATATTGTGGGATTTTTCTGCCTTGATATTCTGGATGATATGGCTGTGAGGAAGGGCCCTTAGGCTAATGCTAATTGGACATCAGCTTCTGGGAGGTTATAGGTTTCCCAGTCTTGGGTAATGGGCTACATATTGGGATTCTAACTCAGATTGCCATTTTTGCATATGTTTTGAGAGGATGCTCAAGATGCACTCTCAATACAAAAGGGGCATCAGCCAGACTCTCCAAACATTTTACCCCACGTGACTTTGCCAATGCAGCCTAGAAATAACACAACTACCTTTTGAGGCTGTGAATTTTTGGGCATTTTGGTAAAAGATCAGAATATCTTAAAGTGTCCTTTTTGTGTGATTACAATCACTTGGAGAATGTTTCCACACAACCCTCAGATTCTAATTGATTCCAGACCTTGAAAACTGCTACTTGCCAGGGGGAATCCATTTTGGCAGATAGTCTTAAACTTCAAAGATACAGAGAGTGGGGCCTAATATCCATCAACTCCTGCTCTGGCTGTGCTAGCTAGGGCAAATGGGAATTGCAATCTAACAGCACTTAGGATCCTTCCACATAGCCGTATAACCAGAATATCGAGGCAGATAATCCACAATATTTGCTTTGAACTGGATTATCCAAGTCCACACTGCCATATAATCCAGTTCAATGTGGATTTTATACAGCTGTGTGGAAGGCGCCCTAGAGCAGTGGTTCTCAACCTGTGGGCTCCCATAAGTTTTGGCTTTCAACTCCCAGAAATCCTAACAGCTGGTAAAATGGCCAGGATTTCTGGAAGTTGTAGGCCAAAGCACCTGGGAACCCACAGATTGAGAACCTCTGCCCTAGAGGGTCAAATCTTAATTTAGTTTTTAATTTGTTTTTAGACTAGTCAGGCCTGGTGCTTCAAAAGAGCACCGACCCACAATCACACAGCCTCCATTCAGGTGTGATTCTGTCAGGTCTCTGTCTAAGAATGAGCTCAGAAAGATAGCAGCCTTGGGCATGTCTATACTTACAGAATCCATGCTTTAATCCAAGGATGAGCACTGCCCACCCACATGTGATAGGCCAATCACCCACAATTGGTGTGCTTTCCACCACCACAACCACCACCATCTTAAGGACTCTAGGAATGGAGATACTCCTGGCCATTTCACTGTTTGGGAGAACCTTAGCTCATCCATATCTTTTCCAGTTCCAGGTGGGATCTATTTTGAAATAGGAGGAAAAACCCTGTCTCGACTCTTTAAAAGTGAGGAGTCAACCAAGTTTTCTAAGTACGGCCAAAGGACCACCAGTAACCCCCATTCTCAAGGGTTATGTTTTCTGTTTGTGTATTGGTTATTGGTTGTGGTTATTTGGTTATTTTGAATGGATGTCTTGGGGGAGGGTTGTGGAAGTGAGGTAACATAGGCATTGTAGGTAGTCTATAAAAATTACTTTAAGTCTGCGCTTTCTCCATCTGCATTTTCATCTTTTAACTGAGTTCCAAGTTTACTGAGATATAAAACCATAAAATCATAGAGTTGGAAGAGCTCTCGCGGGCCATCCAGTCCAACCCCAATCCATTCAAAGCACCCCTGACATTGTGGTGATCAGACTGTGAAAAATCTCAGCCAAAGATCCACAGTGTCCCTCTCCGGTCTTCCTGGTTTAGGATAATTTGCATCTGTAAATTACTTAATGGATGTTTGATGCAGTTTCTTCTTCCTTCAATCTTATCACTTTGAATTTTAGCCACACATTTTTAAAAGTTTACTATCGCTGTCTCATTGCTTGCCTCCTGCTGACTGACAACCATTGCAGTTTTCTGCCTGGCGATTTATAACCATAGAAAGAGGACATACCACTTTGTGATCAGTACTTGCAAGAGATAATGACATCTCTTACCCTATAGATTCTGCTCAAAATGCATAGGTTTTTGGCTGCAGACTGAATTTGAGTACATATATATACTTCCAACAGAAGAGTCATGGATCTGCGGGACCAGGATTGTAGATAAATGTTTTATGTTCCTTTGTCAGTTCTCAGCATTTAGGAAAGGAAATCCTGGTAACAAAGTGAAAAACTGAATGGTATCAGGAGAGATGACTGTATTTTACCAGCAGGAACTAGATTAGCTTGTTTTAGCAATGTCATGCATAGTTTACATTAAAAAAAACCTTATCTTTTAAAATAATACATGGAATAACAGAGGTGAGGCAAATGGAATGGTAGATTCCACCTTGCAATCCGCACTTGGCAGAACATAGATGTGATTGGATAAATGAAATATTCCTTGATGGAAAGGAGACGCTTTAAGATGAAAGGCTTGGAAGGAATCAGTAGTTTTCTGATTAGTTGAAGTGGCCAGTCGCCTGGACTGGCTTTCCCAGGTCCTGCATAAAAAACACAAAAAACAAAGACATCTGTCTGAAAAGTCTTCTGAGCAGATAAAATTGTAATCATAGGAGCAGTCATGAGTGTGTGTTTGTGTGTGTGTGTCAGGAACAACTTGAGAAACTGCAAGACTCGCAGCTGGAGTGGTATGCTGGTTTGAGTGTTGAACTAGGATTCTAAGCCCCCTTCTACACTGCCATATAATCCAGATTGCCAAAGCAGATAATTTACATTATCTGCTTTGAACTGGATTATATGAGTCTATAATACCATATTATCCAATTTAAAGCAGCTTATCTGGATTTTATATGGCAATGTACAAGGCGCCTAAGAGATAAGGTTTCAAATCCTCACTCAAGTAACGTCACCCATTGAGTAACATTGGGTAATTCACACTCTACAATTTAGAGTAAAGCAATGAGATAATCTTGGGCTGACTTGCCATTTAGCAGTTGATTCCATGGGTCTGTTTTAGTTTGGAGTACTAAATCCAATCTGTGATGTCTAACAGAAAATGGGGAAAAATAAATTGCCTGTTTAATGTCGACTTCCCTTCTTAGACCTCCTAGTGGGGAGTTTGCAGCCACGGAGTGCCGCTGTGTCTCGAATCTGCTGTCCTCGAGCCTGAGAGGGTGAGGCACAGGCTGCATCAGGGCGTGAGCGGGTGGATTCCAGCCACCTGAAGGAGAAAAAAAATGCATTTACACTGTCGCCAGGAGCCTGTTTGCCAACTCTTGTGCCTTGTATTACACAGACACATTAACTAATCAACATATCCCCACAAACATGAGATAGAAGAGGGCAAGTGCTCTCTTACCTGCGTAGAGGTGCTAGCTGACAGGAACAGTGCCATGGGTTATTGGACAAGGTGAGTGTCTCAAGGCGGTTGAAGGGAAAGCTTCCAGGAAGACTGGAAAGTTTGTTATTCTCAATGTGAACAGTCTTCAGTGTGGTTGTGCCGGCAAATGCTTTATCTGAAAACTGAGGCAAAAAAATGAGACAGCGCTTATTATATATCAGCCCTTTAAACCCAAGCTTTCCCCACATTTCTAGTGTGCTTCCAGATAAGGCCTTTTCTACATGATTGACCTGCCCCAAACTGAATCTAACAGGGTGCAAGATACCATTTGGTATATATAATCCTTTCATGGTTTTCCTATTCCTTTTATAGTCACTTTAAGTCTTCTTGTGGATAATCATGATCATAAAAATAATAATGATAATCTCACCACAAAGTAAATAAGGAGGAAAAGACAGAACAGTTAAATGTTTTTTGACTAAGAGTTCTCAAAGGTATCTGTCTGGAAGCACCTCAAATCAACAAGTCCTTGGTATCTACTGAGGTTTGGTTCCAGAATTTTTCGTGGGCACCATTTTGTATATTTGCGCAGTAGAATGCTGTCCTTTATATAAAACTAGTTATTCCCTGGCACGCGTTGTTGTGGCCCAGTCTTGTGAGCTGAAAAATAAAGTAATGAGAAAGTGTTGGTTTCTAATATATGTAATTTCTTGATGCTTGTGGGTAAACAGTATTTCTTGTTGTTTCTTTGTCAGTGTTGATGTGGAGATTGTCTGGTTTGCCTACTCTGGAACATGCAACATATAATTGTCCTTCTTTAGGGGACCCTTTCAAATCTATGATACTATATCTTTGTGTGTGTGAATCATATATATCTATTTATATCTATGGCTGGATGCCTCTTTGTCAGGAGGACTTTGATTACGTTTTCTTTCCCTGGTGAAGGGAATTGGACTCGATGGCCTTAAGTATTTTCTGTTGGTCATGGGGGTTCTGTGTAGTAAGTTTGCCCCAATGCTGTCGTTGGTGGGTCCAGAATGCTCTTTGATTGTAGGTGAACTATAAATCCCAGTAACTACAACTCCCAAATATCAGGGTCTATTTCCCCCAAACTCCATCTGTGTTCATATTTGGGCATATGGAGTATTTGTGCCAAGTTTGGTCCAGATCCATCATTGTTTAAGTCCACAGTGCTCTCTGGATGTAGGTGAACTACAACTCCCAAACTCAAGATCAATGCCCACCAAACCCTTCCAGTATTCTCTATTTGTCATTGGAGTTCTGTATGCCAAGATTCGTTCAATTCCATCATTGGTGGAGTTCAGAATGCTCTTTGATTGTAGGTTAACTATAAATCCCAGCAACTACAACTCCAAAATGACAATTTTTTTGAGTGATGGCAACTCCTTGGGTTAGTAGGTGTCTTGTGTCCATATTTGGTGGCAATTTGTCCAGTGGTTTTTGAGTTATGTTAATCCCACAAACAAACATATTATATATATATTATATTTCTTGAAATTTATTTATTTTATTCATTTAGTATATTTCTATACTGCCCCTCTCAGTCTTCTGGCGACTTGAGGCAGTTTTCAGGGGGAATTTTTCTCAAGTTGTGGATGGATAATATATGGATATGGAGGGCCAACTATATTCCAAAATCTGAAGGATATGGAGGGCCAACTATATTCCAAAATCTGAAGAAAATCCAAAACACTTCTGGCCCCAAGCATTTCAGATAAGGGACATTCAACCTGTATGTGACAAACAGCAGTGTAGTGCAACATGTATGTTTTGGCCACAGCTTACTAGCTATTTGCACAGAGCATCATTGTCCTTATTCTGTATGAATTGCTCTCTTTCCCTAAAATTACAGCTGAGATCAGTAAAAAGGAGAATGAGACAATGAAAGAAGCAATGGATGAATGAAGTTTTGACATTTTCAGGGCAAGCAAGATTTGGAGAAGGCTTTAGTCCTTGTTTTGCAGTGGTGATTGCTAATTGACTAGTAGTTGTGTTGCTTCATTGGCCCCCCACAGGAACTTATAGAGTCACACATTTATTTCCAGTTTTATCCAATTCCTTTCTTTACTTGAAAATGGCCAAAACCTCCCTCAAAACCTTCAGGGTTTGATTGTCAGTTTTGACCTATATTTAGGCTTTCCCTGTCTGATTTAGGCATGCACTGGCCTTTCCCAAAAATGGAAGTGACAATGCGGTTATTTTGAATTAAAAGAGGGAGCACATTTGTGTATTGGAGTCACACATTGGAGTCTTTCAGTTTAAACCTAACCTATGTTGATTATTTTTATAGAAGAACAAAGCAAACCAGGAGCAAATACAATATGCATTCCTTAATTCTGTAGACTTTGGTTTAAATGTGAAGTGCCTTTTCCTCTGAGAAGATGAAAGACAAGAAGGGAATACTATCATCTTGCATTTTGTGAGGGATGTCTCTGTTGCTCAGTATAAAATTCTATGAAAGCACATCCATATTATGGAATGGAATGTTTTTAGGTGTCTAATATGTATTAATTTTAACTCAAGTTTTAATCTTTAATTTTGGAATTGAATGTGTTTATGACATTGAATAATTGCCTCTGTTGTAAGCTGCCTTGAGTCCCCTTCGGGGTAGAGAAAGACAGGGTATAAATAGGGTAAATAATCATAAAACTTATATCTTTAAACATGTGGAGAGTATAAGGCTGCTTGTTGAATATGGAGATATTAATAACTGTTTTATTTCAACCTCCTTTAAAAATTAAAGTAGAAGTATACTATGACCTATTTCTTTCTAGAAATCTCTACATGTCTAAACTAGCAAATAGCTTTTCAGAGCTGATTTTATTTTTATTTCTGGCACCCAGCTTCTACATTCATAGAAGAGAATATTTGCAGAGACTCAATGGCTAGTAGACTTTGGCAGAGCCCATTGGACTCTAAATGGAAAGTTACACTTGGCATTCAACCACAGTAGAAAGAGCACGACACATTTCCAGATCCTCAGATTCCTCTCCTCATCCTCAGGTCTCTAGGATCCTACAAAATCAGTATGTTTATGCCCCAAAAGTTTACTGTCAGAAGTAGAGTTCTCTGTACAATTCTGTGATCAATATTAAAGCATTAAATCAGCCATTTCCCCTGGTGAATTTTCCTCAGGCAATTTTCATTGCCAGTGCTCCTTTGTGGTTCAGCCAGATGACAATGAGGGAATTGGGGTTTCAGAGCCTGTTGATTCTGTAGATGAGGAAACGGAGCTGATTGCAGCACAAGATTCTGAGAAAGAGAGGCTGAAGCAGGCACTTCAAGGTCAAAGAAATGTGTTCATGTCTTGCAGTCCTTAAATTAGAGAGAGCTCTGCTGGGAGTTTAGATTAAGCAATGTTGCTATTCACCGAAGGATCTCCTGTCTCTTTCCTAGCCCAGGCCTTAGTTCAAGACCCAAGATTTAGGCTCCTTGTTACCTTTGCTCCTTGTTACCTTTGGATTCCTGCTCATGTTTTGCTCCTTGTTTATTGGATGGATTTTTTTGGGAGTCATGTTCCTGGGTTAATCCTTGCTCCTTGGATTTATTCTCATGTTTGGACTCCGGTGATTCCTGCTATCTGAAGCAGCTTTGATCTGTTTGGATTATTGCCTTTGGGACTTGCTTCCTTTTTTAATCTTTGGATGTTTATCCTTCTTTTTGCTAATTGTGGTTTTCCTTTTTTAAATGTGTTTCTATCAATAAACTGTTTATTATCACGTGTAGTTTCCTGGTGAGTGCTGTGAGCAAGGTGAACTCCTGCTGAGGTGCAACAGTTCCCTTGTTTTGGAAACCCCTTGTTATGGGGTTTCTTACAGGCAAAACCCCATAAGCTCAAACTTCCTTAAAAGTGTGTGGTTACAAGAGTACTTGTTTCTTGCCCATCTTCACTGCTCTCATAATTCCTTTTAGGGAATGTGAAGTGCTAAGGTATCCCAAAACCACCAGAGTATTCCCATATTCAGCTGCTCATCAGAACATGCCCTTGTACGTCTCCTGTGCTTAGCACCTTGATAGCTGTGTTAGTACTAGGTTGTTAAGCAATATTGGCATAAAATAATAGCTGAATGAAAGGCCATAAGGAATAGACAAAAGAAACACATTGTGTAAGCAATCCTCTTATGGTCCATCACTAAATGAATCCAAGCAGGTTGTGCTTGGGTTGTCTGCAGGGCTCTCTTTCACATGTGGTTTGTAGGCAAGCATCTAACCATTTGTGACATTGAAACAGTTGTTGACATTTCATGGCAGTGTGCTTTATTTTACATTTCATTAACAGTTATTGTTAATCTTCCTTTTTCTGGTACATATTCACACTTGAGTATTGTTCATCTTGATGCTGAGTTCTTGTCATAGGAGTATCTGACGTAGCCGAGGATCCTACAATATTCATTGACATTTTCACTTAACCATGCTCTTTAATTTTGTCTAAACTAACAAACTATAGTTAATATTAAGTATGATTGTTTGAAACAAAGATTTATTGAAACTGTTGAAAGCAGCCCCGGTCCTTCTTGCTGTGGATATTTGTTGAATACAGTATATTGGATCTTCACAATATTTCTTGTGTGTAACTTAGTATCCTGAGTATGTGCCGAGGTCAAAAATGGCATGAAATGTAAGTAATGTAATGTGAATTTATTATATGCATCTTGGCATAATGGTTCCCTATTGTTGTATACATCTTCAAATTTGTATCTGCTAAGTTCAATGAAAAGTTTAACACATTTGCGATGTCTTTTTAATTGCCAATACTGTTCATCCTGAAAGAAAATCTACCTGGATGCATATTATGATGCTCTGTTACATCCATTAAGTAGTAATTTTCAAGCAAGTATTTTTATAAGATTCAGTGGAGTCGTTTCACTTTATTCATGTGAGATCCTTTAATGGTTTTGCTTTATTATTTTTCATTATTAGTTCAATTTATATGTTCTATATATATTATAATATTATAAAAGTTAATTGCTATGCACACTAAAAGGAAACACTGATTGTAAACAACAAACTTGCATGTATTAGAAAAAAAGGGCAGAGCTCATCTGAATTCGTATTAGTGTACTTCATCATACCAGGATTCATAGATTAACTTCATATTACCATTTCACTGGGGGACATGAGAGAAGCCTCCTCGCAGGATTGCAAGACATCCGGGCGTCCC